TGCAGATAGTATATAAGTCGGAACGAGCCAGATCGGACGACTATAGCATATAACTCCCATAGGAACAATCGGAAAAGTAAATGAAAAAAAATTATAATTTGCTTTCTTTTAAGTTTTTGTTAAGTTCTTCGACATATAGTAATGGTTAAATATTTCAGAGTTACAGTTTAAATTTCATCAAAATCGGACGTCTATAGCAAATAGCTCCCACAGGAACAATCAAAAAAAAAATGAAAAAAATTATAACTTTGCTGTTTTTCAATTTTTTGTTAAGTTCTTCGACATTTAGTAATGGGTAAATATTTCAGAATTACGGTTTAAATTTAATGAAAATCGGACGACTATAGCTTATAGCTTTTATGGGAACAATCGGTAAAATCATTGAAAACAAGAAAGAAAGCAAACTTCGGCAAGACGAAGTTCATTGTTACGGAACTGCATCTTTCCCGGAGGGCAGCGCCGGCTAGCCACGGAGTCCCAGGGCGGAGTACCCCCTATGCCCTGCAGTCCGAACAATCGATTCCGACTCATCGGACGTCTCACGTCGATTTACCATCTCTAGCACAAATCAAAACAAAACAAAATTATGTTTACATTAAGCAACTAAGACAATTCGACGAAATTGGTGGCTTCGATGTCCTTGCCACGACGCACCCACCCAACCTTGGGTGCCCCAAGAGAGATGTGGGGGGCACACCCCATCTCCGGCAGACCGGAGTCTATTCCTGGTGGATTAGGATCGGCTCATCTCCCCGCCCAAGGTAACTCACACAACCATCTCGGTAGCTTGTTTACATTTAATTTTTGGTGAGATTAATAAGTAAATACATTCGTTATTGATTCCTACTGATAATCTATTCTTTTCGTTAGAAACTCTTAAGGCCGATCTCAGACCGTCGCCCAGATGAGAAGCGGTCAAAGCGGAAACAACTGAAAGGGAAATTTTTAGACGCTTAGAGTTCAAAGTGTCAGGCAAACTCGCCACACGGCACTAAATTGGAGGCGTTTGCCAACCGGGTCGCCTAATCCTGAGGAGCTCCAAGGGAAAAGAAGGGACGTGCTGACAAGGTAAGTACGCTAAACAAATCCCACAAGTTATTAAATTTCGCGACCCAATTTAGATATAGTTGGACGCGCGGCCAGGGCTCGGGCTTGAGCCTCTAAATTTAGATCAGATTTCACAGTAAGTACTTTACAATCTTGACTGCATAATATCACAAAACAATAACTAAAACTAATTTATTTCAGAGTTCAACGTCGTATGTGTTGAAACTGCAGCAGGAAAAACGCTGATGGCGAAAACCTGCGCGAGTCCGCACGGAGCCAGTTGGTCCGGAGGATAGCGTAGCGTGGCCGGAAGCAGGGCGTCGGTGGACTTGGAGATGACCACGTGGCCAGCGCGGGCATTCGTTCCCGGAACGGACTCACCGGAGAATCTCCGTATCTGGCCGTCTTGGCGGCAGTCGCTGTAGCTGCTGGCGCTTGAGGCTGCTGCTGCTGCTACTGATCGCTGCTGCTACTGATCGCTGCTGCTGCGGCCAATGCTGCTGGTTTGTGGTGTGCTGCTGGCTTATGCTGCTGCTGATGCTGCTGCTGATGCTGCTGCGGCCAATGCTGCTGAGGCTGGTGGTCGACGACCAGGTTATGTCCGCCTGGTAAGTTTTCACTTCCCAAATGTTTAAAATTTCCGGGGCCCTTTAGTTAGGGTCCCCGGCGGTTTGAGTTATTCAAACACTAATCACGAACTTAAATTTTGGGTTTTTTTTCTGACCGTTCTCCTACTACTTCTTGCAGCAACTCAAGCAAAACCCTGACCTACACCAAAGTCGCTCGCCATTTTCCCTCCCGCTCTCTCAAGATGGGTCAGCGAACGTATTCAAGGCCATCTAACCCAGTTAACGAGCGAACCGGGCTAAATTTAAATAGCTAGATCCTCTCCCGCTATCAATAGTCGGTGTCACCACCAAATCTTATCGATAGCGGGACCTGCTGACGTATCGGCTCGTTTCAGTATTTTCCCGACGGCTTCAACTGAAAATGCAACACCACCCTGGATTCCGAGAGACGCTAACACAGAGTTTTAGGCTAGCGCAGGAATACTTGGGAGCATTTGGATTTGGACTATTCGGATTCCGCCGGCCTCGATGCCAAGATGCAGTTCCAACGGTGTCCAACGCGGGGCCCACGCTTTACGGGAAGTAGACACATGCCGATTCTGAGCTCGTGTACTTTGTTATTCCTCTTTCCAGATCACAACCTAATGTCCTTGGCATGGTACACTCCGATCGGTCGTCCTTGAAGATCTTCAAGCTCGTACGCATTATTGCCGACTGTCCTGACCACCCGAGCTTTTAGGAACTTCCGAGCAAACTTTGCATTGAAGGCCTTTTTGAAATCGCTGGGGACAAAGTTGCGGCGATACACTTCCTGACCTGGCTTCGCAAGGAAAGTACGAGCCCTTTTGTCGTACCGCAGGCGACTCCGATCGTATGCATCTTCGAGGTTCTTCTGCACCTTGTCATGAATCACTTGGAGTTTATCAGCTGTTCTCATCCCAGACATTTCGTGATCACACAGCGACTTCAACTTCCTTGCCAACTTGTAGCTGGCTCCGTTCAGGAACATGTGTCGTCCGAATACGGTGAAGAACGGAGCTTCTCCAGTTGCTGAATGGACCGCGTTGCGGAGGGCCACCTCAATCTCCGGAAGATACGCGTCCCATTCTCGATGGTCTTCTTCTAAGTAACTTCGGATCGCCGCCAACACGCTTTGGTTCACCCTTTCCGCTGCGTTGCTTTGCGGAGAGTGGACTGGCGTTTTGATGTGCGTGATGCCAAAGCTCTCCATCGCCTCCTCGAAGATCTTGGACGTAAACTGGCGGCCGTTGTCCGAATGCACAATTTCTGGAACCCCAAACTTGTAGAACACCTCGTGAATGAGGAACTCCACTACATTGGAGGCCGATGCCTCTTGCATGGCCTTCAGAAATGTGTATTTGGAGAAGTGATCCACCACAATGAAGATGTAGGCCTGTCCCTTCTTCGACCTCGGATACTTCCCCAGGAAATCGATGTACAGCTTCTGGAATGGCTGCTCAGTCTGGACTCTCTCACCGATACCAACTTGCATCCGGAAATTCGGGGATTTCGTCTCCTTGCACACCTCACACCTGCGTATGAACTCCCGGACTTGCAGTGCCATGCCAGGCCAGTAAAACTGCCGCCGTAGGTTTTCCAGAGTTTTTCCCATTCCGCCATGAGCGGCCGTTGGATCCGAATGTGCACGCTCAATTATGCTGTGGGTCAGACTCTGGGGAATCCACAACTTCCATTCGAAGCCTTCCACCTCGTCATCCAGATTTGCCGAAAAGACTCTCTTGAAGATGAGACCATCCACTATCCTCAAGTCTGGTAGGTTGGCCAAGTTTTTTTCCACCTCTTGTAACAACTCCGTGTACTCTTCTCCAGCAAACTCAGTGGTCTCGAAGCCGAGCAACTCTGACGGGTCCACCGTTAGCTCTTCAACACAACGCGAAAGGGTATCTGCCACAACGTTCTCGCTTCCTTTCCTGTGTTCGATGTTGAAGTCATATCCCTGGAGTTGCAATGACCACCGAGCCAGCCGACCCGAAAGATCTTTCATGGACATGAGCCACTTCAAGCTGGCATGATCGGTGATGCACGTGAACGGCATTCCTTCCACATACGGCCGGAACTTTCGAATCGCCAGCAGGGCTGCGAGGCATTCCTTTTCAGTGACGGTGTAATGGACTTGGTGGCGATTCATCTTGGCCGAGAAGAACGCTATTGGTTGTTCCTGGCCGTCTTCATCCCGCTGGAACAACACTGCACCGACTCCGATCTGGGATGCATCGCACTGGATGAAAAAGTGCCGCTTGAAGTCCGCATGTACCAGCACTGGCGCAGTAGTTAGGGCCATCTTCAGGGACTCTACTGCCAGCTGTGCTTCTGGACTCAAGGAAAACTTCTTATTTCCCGTCTTCTTCAAAGATTCCGTGAGCGGGGCAGCCAAAGTTGCGAAATTCTTTATGAACCGACGGTACCAACCAGCGGTCCCAAGAAAGGCTCTCACTTCCTTCATGGTCCTTGGCTCAGGCATCCGCCTAATAGCTGCTACACGCCCTGGATCCATCCGCAGACGTCCTCCACCCACTATGAAGCCGAGGTAGGTCAAAGACTTGAAGCAAAACTTCGACTTGCTCAGCCCAATGGTTAACCCTGCTTCCTTCAGGCATTCAGCGACTCGGCGAAGATACTTCAAGTGCGTTCTTATGTCGGGCGCTAGTATTAGCAGATCATCCAAGTAGACGAACACATTTGAGCGGATTTCAGCGGGAATTACTCGGTCCATGAGTCTCACCAGCCTCTGTGATGCGTTGCAGAGTCCGAAAGGCATCACGCGGAACTGGTAAAGAGGCCGACCAGGAACCGTAAAGGCTGTGTATTCCTTGCTGCTCGTGTCCAACTCAATCTGCCAAAAAGCGAACTTCAAATCCACGCTGGAAATGCAGTATGTTTGCTCAATTCTGGACAGGATGCCGTCTATGCTGGGCAACGGGTAAGCATCTTTGATGGTCACATCATTAAGCTTACGTGCGTCTAAGCAGAACCGGTGTTTTCCAGATCTTGACACTACGGTGGTGCGGTTACTCCAGGGGCTTTTGCTCTCCTCGATGACTCCGAGCGCTAGCATCTTGTCGACCTCGTCCTCGACCACCTTCTGCTTCGCGGGAGACATCGGATAGGGTCGATCCTTGAACACTTTGGCTCCGTCCATCAGCTCAATAGTGTGTTTCTCCAGACTGGTGGTACCTAAGCCATCCCTCTCGAAAGTCAAGAACTGCTGCTTGATCTCCACCAGCTCTTGTTCCTCGGCCTTGGAAAGCGTCCAGGACTCGGGATCGGGTTTCTCCTCATCGTCATCCTCGACTTCCGCGTAGTGTTCCATCTCCCTGGCGTGTAATTCTTCGGCCTTCTTCACGCCTTCCGAATTTATGTGGCCTATAATCGCTGGGGCCAGTCCGAATGCTTGCCAAAAATCAACTCCAAAATAAGCTGGCTGCTCCAGGTAAGGACACAAGTAGAAGAGAATGTGCTCTGTCCGTCCTCGGTATTCCACCGGTAACTTGACCCGTCATATAATTGACCGATCCTCTCCAGAGGCCGTACGGACTGCGGATAAGTACTTCTGGACGGGCACAGCCAAGGCCTCGACCAGCTCTCTGCCACCTTTTCCAAGCAGACTCACACTCGCTCCAGTGTCCAACAACCCCGTCAGTTGCTTGGTCAGAACTCGGACTGCGGCGAACGGTCTGGGATCTCGCGATAAACTGCGCCTCACGGCGGCCACTGCTTCGCGTCGGCAGTTCCGACGTTTGCGAAATCGCTCCCTGGCCTTTTGCACCTTGCGAGACACCATACGCATCCCGCCTAACTGGTGCTCTGAGAAGATCCTGTTCCTGGTCTCTAGATACCGCCGCATCCTCTCCACATAAGGTATGTATCGTAATGCAAACTTATTACTATTTTTAGAAGGTAAACATTTATCTAACCCTACCAGCTCTTCTTCTCTGCGGAACTCCTGTTTGGACGCATCCTCTCCGCCCTCGGATCACAATCCGGACATTTGGGAGACACAGTGTCGGGCTTCCCACATCGGTGGCAGAACAGTCTGCGTTCTGTTGCTGCGCAGTCACGGAACCCGTGATCCACGGCTCCGCAATTCCAGCAGCCGGCTCGGAACGGATTTTTGGGCTTCGCCCGCACTTCGTCCACCTCTTGCCACGGAGGATCCTCACCAGGATCTGGGCCAATCGCCTCGCTAACCTTGGCCTTTTCCGCCAGAGGATACCGCATCGGCTGCGTGTACGTGGTCCGTCCACGTCGTCCAAAACTACGCTCCACCTCGCAGCACTCTTCCCGCAGTTCATCCACAGTGAGCACGTCCATCGCGTAGACAAACCTTGCGATGCTCTCCCTCAATCCCTTTTTAATAATCTTCACCAGCTGCCGCTCTGACAGTGGCCTTTTCAGTCGAGCCGCCAACTGCTGCATCGCATGGATATAATCGCCAACTCCTTCTCCGGGCTGCTGCTCCCTCTGCAGAAGTTGGTGCATCCGATCGTGCTCCGTCTGATGGCATCGGAACCTATCCATCAGCGAGGCTCGAAGCTGGGACCACCTGTCCACCCTGCAGTGACGCACGTGCACCCAGTACCACTCCCGAGCCCGCCCAGTGAGCAGCAGGTGGAAGTTTCGGAGCACCTCTTGCCACGGGCATTGGCACTGCCGCTGCAGGAACTCCAACCGGAAGAGAAAGTCTTCCACCGAGTTTCGCTCATCCTCCCCGTCGAAGGATACGCCCCACCGCTCAATTCGCCATTGCTGGTTGGCGGCTGCCGGCCCCACATTGGCATACAGACGCGGCTCCTCCCGGAACTCTGAGGCCCTGCGGTCCTCAATGCACCAGCTGCGGACCGGGCCATCGTCTCGGCGCGACCTGAAATGATCCGGAGGATACCCGGGACTGCTACTTTCCAACTCCTGGAAATCCAGCGGCCTCCTCGTCGGTTTGGGTGGCACCCTCGGCGGAGGTAGCCTGGAACCGTCCCTGCCGGCGACCTGTGTGCTCTTCGGCACCGCACCTTGCGGGGCTTGACCAGGGATTCCCGCGTTGATCCTTGAATCCGGACGCCTTCGCTCATCCGGCATGCTCTCCAGGGGGAAGCTGAGGCCGCTGAGCAGCAGGCCTTAACACCTCGTTCATCAGCTTCATCATCTCCAGGAAGCCACTTCGGATCTCGTCCCTCAGTGCCTGATTGATCCCGCCTTCTTGGGCCTTCCGATGGGTCTCCGCCGCCTGTGCCAAAGCCACATTAACGGCCGACCTTGCCGCGGAATCCACAAAGGGATCGTGGAGTCTTGCGTCCTTATCGTCGAGCTGCAATAACTCATCCGCTGCGGAACCAATTCCCTCCAGGATCTGCTGCTGCCTTAGGTCCTGCTGCAGCTCTGTGTCCTGTGCTCCTTTTTGCTCTTGTTGCAGTCCCTGGCGCAAACGGGCAAGCGGAGTCCTGGGCAACCCTTCCGATATGCGCGGCAAGCCAGCCTCGGTAACGCCCTCCACATCCGTGGACCACATCTTTTCGTCGTCCTCGCCTGGAAAACCTTTCGACCGAAGCAGGTGATCATGCTTGCTGCCTTGTCGCTTTGACATCTTGAATTTTGATAACCCCTAACACGACTTCTGAAACCCCGAATTCAACGTGGCCACCAAAAGCCCAAATTATGTATAAATAAATAAATTATACTGAATGCTAGCAACTAATAATAAACAATAAATAAGCACCACTAAATAATATGCAACTAAATAGTACGAATACTTATATTACCAGGCCAATAAATAATAATCATAAATAAATAGAAACAATAAACCATGAATAGATAAGAAATAATTAAGAAAATATATTAAAGACCCACAAATACCTAAGGCTAAACAAATTCACACCAAATATTAGCTCTTTTCAAAAAAAACAAGTCCCTCGACTAAATTTCTTTCTCTATTTTTATTTTTTTCTTTTCCCAGCCTCAATAAGGGGAGATGGAGCCGATCCCCCGCCGGTAGACTCCGCGCCAGTCGTCTTGCGTCTACAATTTCGTCCGAATTCTCACTAAACAAACCGCTCGTCAACTGGACTAACTTTCAGCTGTGCTGAAAGTCGCCAGTTAAGGACTTCGGCTGTTTGCAGGATCGCATAGGATTTCCTTTTGGACTTTGCGTTTTTCATTCAAGTCGCGGTGGCCGAGCAGCGCGTGACGAAGTCACGGGTCACGACCACACATTTAAGTTTTAAACCGATATGATCTGAAAACGCAAATACCCAGAAAACCCAAGGATCTGCACAAAAAAAAAACAACTACACTGTAACCCCAAAACAAGACATTCATTAAAATTACGTTAACAAAAAAAAATATGTCCCTAATACCTATATCACAGTTTTATCACCGTTTTTGCTTTAACCTTTCGTGCTTATTGCACGGACGACCTGGGATGCGAATCCTTCGAAGAGGATGTCACCGCCAAATCACAGCTAATCCCTGTGAACTGTGCCTCGGGAGCAATTGTCCTACTTCTAGTGGACACGCCTCCCTTTCTTCCTACAAAATTTAAACAACTTTTCTCCACCAGTCCGCATCCCGGTGCAATTGCATGTGTGTCATGAAAGCCACCGTTCGTGGGCTGGCTGGAGATAATTAATATGCGAGACGCCGTCGACTCGGCTATCACATATTTTATTTGTTAAAATTGGGCGCCATATTGTTACGGAACTGCATCTTTCCCGGAGGGCAGCGCCGGCTAACCACGGAGTCCCAGGGCGGAGTACCCCCTATGCCCTGCAGTCCGAACAATCGATTCCGACTCATCGGACGTCTCACGTCGATTTACCATCTCTAGCACAAATCAAAACAAAACAAAATTATGTTTACATTAAGCAACTAAGACAATTCGACGAAATTGGTGGCTTCGATGTCCTTGCCACGACGCACCCACCCAACCTTGGGTGCCCCAAGAGAGATGTGGGAGGCACACCCCATCTCCGGCAGACCGGAGTCTATTCCTGGTGGATTAGGATCGGCTCATCTCCCCGCCCAAGGTAACTCACACAACCATCTCGGTAGCTTGTTTACATTTAATTTTTTGTGAGATTAATAAGTAAATACATTCGTTATTGATTCCTACTGATAATCTATTCTTTTCGTTAGAAACTTTAAGGCCGATCTCAGACCGTCGCCCAGATGAGAAGCGGTCAAAGCGGAAACAACTAAAAGGGAAATTTTTAGACGCTTAGAGTTCAAAGTGTCAGGCAAACTCGCCACACGGCACTAAATTGGAGGCGTTTGCCAACCGGGTCGCCTAATCCTGAGGAGCTCCAAGGGAAAAGAAGGGACGTGCTGACAAGGTAAGTACGCTAAACAAATCCCACAAGTTATTAAATTTCGCGACCCAATTTAGATATAGTTGGACGCGCGGCCAGGGCTCGGGCTTGAGCCTCTAAATTTAGATCAGATTTCACAGTAAGTACTTTACAATCTTGACTGCATAATATCACAAAACAATAACTAAAACTAATTTATTTCAGAGTTCAACGTCGTATGTGTTGAAACTGCAGCAGGAAAAACGCTGATGGCGAAAACCTGCGCGAGTCCGCACGGAGCCAGTTGGTCCGGAGGATAGCGTAGCGTGGCCGGAAGCAGGGCGTCGGTGGACTTGGAGATGACCACGTGGCCAGCGCGGGCATTCGTTCCCGGAACGGACTCACCGAGGGAATCTCCGTATCTGGCCGTCTTGGCGGCGGTCGCTGTAGCTGCTGGCGCTTGAGGCTGCTGCTGCTGCTACTGATCGCTGCTGCTACTGATCGCTGCTGCTGCGGCCAATGCTGCTGCGGCTGATGTTGCTGCGCCTTATGCTGCTGCTGATGCTGCTGCGGCCTATGCTGCTGCTGATGCTGCTGCGGCCAATGCTGCTGAGGCTGGTGGTCGACGACCAGGTTAGGTCCGCCTGGTAAGTTTTCACTTCCCAAATGTTTAAATTTCCGGGGCCCTTTAGTTAGGGTCCCCGGCGGCTTCAATATAAAAAAAACACTGTAATTTACAAGTTCCGGACTAATAAATAAACACTCACTTTGAGTTATTCAAACACTAATCACGAACTTAAATTTTGGGTTTTTTTCTGACCGTTCTCCTACTACTTCTTGCAGCAACTAAAGCAAAACCCTGACCTACACCAAAGTCGCTCGCCATGTTCCCTCCCGCTCTCTCAAGATGGGTCAGCGAACGTATTCAAGGCCATCTAACCCAGTTAACGAGCGAACCGGGCTAAATTTAAATAGCTAGATCCTCTCCCGCTATCAATAGTCGGTGTCACCACCAAATCTTATCGATAGCGGAACCTGCTGACGTATCGGTTCGTTTCAGTATTTTCCCGACGGCTTCAACTGAAAATGCAACAAAAATTTTAACTTTGCTGTTTTTTAATTTTTTTTTAGTTCTTCGACATATAGCAATGGTTAAATATTTCAGAACTATGGTTTAAATTTCATCAAAATCGGACGACTATAGCATATAGCTCCTATAGGAACAATCGGAAAAATAATTGAAAAAAAATTATAACTTTGCTATTTTTTATTTTTTTTTTAGTTCTTCGACATATAGCAATGGTTAAATATTTTAGAATTATGGTTTAAATTTCATCAAAATCGGACGACTATAGCATATAGCTCCCATACAAATAATAAAAATATATAAAAGAACAATCAAATAATTAAGCTGCAAATCGTCATAGCTTCAATGTTTTTAAACATATACGCAAGTAAATCATAATTTTAATGTTTTCAAAAATATTTAATTCTTGCGATAGCTGCAAGGGTATATGAACTTCGGCTTGCCGAAGTTTGCTTTCTTTCTTGTTTTCATTTATTTTTCCGATTGTTCCTATGGGAGCTTTATGCTATAGTCGTCCGATTTTGATGAAATTTAAACCGTAAATCGGAAATATTTAACCATTACTAAAAGTCGAAGAACTAAACAAAAAATTAAAAAACAGCAAAGTTATAATTTTTTTTCATTTATTTTTCCGATTGTTC